GTAGGCAACGCATCTGAAATTGCGGATGTTTATGGGTGTTTATTCGGTGGATTCAGGTGGCTGTTTGCTCGTTTGCCACCTTGTATTATAAAAAAAATAATAATCTTTCCTCTTTATAATATTATAGTATAGAGTATAGCTAATATAACATGAAATGCGAGAGAATACTCGACTATAATATTTATTCAGCCTTCTATTGGTTTTAAAGTACGCTGACAAAAATTCAAATTCGATGACGTTACTTTCTAGTACATTTTAATACTAGACCCCTTGTATGCAATTTGTTTAAACTACGTTTTTTTGTGCTTTCTCTTGTTTTTGTAATGATCAAAACAAAAGAGAGCTACAGGGCTACAGATACCGATATGAAAGATTTTTACTTTGTCGTTGTTGAATGAGACTATGCATACATTTTAAACCACTAGGAATGTTACAATTAACATAGTATATTTATTGTTATTCAAAGTCGATAAAATTGAACCATTGTTTTCTCTTATTTTTATCGAGTAACACTTTTGTCGGTGACTGTACTCAGGTCAATGTCAATGTCTGCCGGACGTGTCATACCGATCGTGAGCCACGATATTGTAAAGAACTGTACATACAATGTTAAGAGCGGACGCACACTTTTGACTAAACACACAACTGTTTAGTTGCACAACTAAAAACCGAGTGTTACCTCCATATAAGCTCACAACCGTGTACGATAGTTTAATCAAAGGTGTGCGGGCGCTCTGAAACGTATGACTACCACATTTCTGTACACATATGCAAAAATTAAAACTACTATGGTATAAAGGGTGCGATATTCTTCCTAGTTCTAGGTTTTGTAAATTGTATTTTAAACACTGTGTTTAAGACATAGAAATAAGGAAACAATCAACTTTGATTTCGTATACCATAAACTGTAATGCGTAGGATATGAGAATCCTTGGTACCTCCTAAATGTTAAATTACATTTTTTTAATACTGAATTATTCATAGAAAAGTCAGAATTGGATTTACGATTATTTCCTATTGATATAATTACCGATTGTCGCTCGAGGTCGCATTTGTTCCGGTTTTTGCAATGGTTACTTCCACATCACATATAGTTTGCTAAATATATAAATGCTAGCTTCCGCCCGCGACTCCGTCCGCGTGGAATTTAAAAAAAAACAAAAGTGAGTAGCCTATGTGTTCTTCCAGACTATCCTCTACATCTATACCAAATTTCATCGTAATCCGTTCAGCAGTTTAGGCTACAAACTCTAACAAACATCCCTCAATCTAAACTTTCGCATTTATAATATTAGAATTAAAATGATCAAACCATTCAAATATGCGTACTGATCGGATAGAACTGGCTTGCTGGCCAAAGAGTATGTAAAATGCTGGCATGACAGACAACAGTGTTGCCATACGCTACAATGTGCATCACTTTACGCATCAATTGACTTAACAAATTATTTTCTTTATAAACTACATTTACATAATTACTTCGACATAATTCGCAAGACAATTGAATCATTAACATCATAATCATTAGTAACTCATTTACTAATTCATCAAATAAACAAAACAAACAAGTGTGTCGGCTGAGCGGTGCGGGCAGCGACCGCGTGGCCTTGACATACATACGTGCCCCCCGGTCGCGCTCTCGGAAGATCATAAGCGAACTTATTTACGTTTATGATAGTCAATAAAATTGTAAATGTGATTTGCCTTCGGTTGCCTTCGTTACGTCCTCGACTTTAACACAATTGTTATAGGTTATTACACTGCAATATACAGGAAATAGCAGAAATTCAACATACCACAAACATATTACCTTAGACAGCACCATTAAAAACTTACGAGCTGTTGCCCGCGACTTCGTCCGCGTGGTATTAGAAAACATACGAACTATATAAATTACAATTATCAATACATTTCTCTGGGATGAAGCTTATCTCATGTGTACTCCAGACTTTGTTTTATATCCGTGCCAAATTTCAATAAGGTATGTTGAACCGTTGCAGAATGATCGAGTGAACATTAAAAAAATAAATTAATGAATCCCACGGGAACCGTAACTATTCTCGGGATGAAAAGTAGCCCACGTGTTCTTCCAGACTATGCTCTAAACCTGTGCCAAATTTCATGGAGATCCGTTCAGCCGTTTAGGCTACAAACGCTAACAAACATCCATCCATCCATCCATCCATCCATCCATCCATCCATCCATCTATCCGTATATCCATCCATCCATCCATCTAAACTTTCGCATTTATAATATTAGTAAGTTTTCGCTCAGTAGTACTCTTCAAAAATACACTCTTAGAAAATGTCACTTAAGACAGTTTGACAAGAATTTTGTGCAGATTTTGTAACATTTTTTCATTCATAGATGTCGCTAGTTATCTATTTTAGTTCCAAATTTGTACACCAGGGTAGATAAGTTCGACAGTATCCTTTTCAGCAATTATTAGAAGGGATATGAGACCTTGCATTTGTAACAGATAAAGCATTTACTACTCGTATATGTAAATGTAGAACAATATTATTTGCATTGTGATTCTGAAACAGTAGATAATAAAAATATCAATAAATTATGCCGCTTTACTCTCTGTGTCGTATTCCTTGTCAAACTGTTTGTATGTTTTCATCCGGGCGATCGCGAAATGTTCACATAACCGTAGGCCGTGACATAATCGACGAAATCAAGCGCCTCGTGCAACAGGATGTCGATAGCATAGTGAAATGGTCTCATGATAATGGTATTGTTCTTAATGGTCAAAAAAC